TGATAATAATTCAAATAAAAATGATATACCAGAGGGACCAGAAGAACCAGTTGAACTAGAAACAGACTTGTCAAGTGGAAAGGAAGAAAATGAAGAGATGAATATTAGTAATGAAAGTGAAATAATGTGGGTAAATGAAATTGTCATTATTGATTCTTGCCAAGTGAATTATACATATTCTAAAGCTTCTGTGATACATATCTCTGATATTGTGTCAGCATCACCAAGACAATTTTTCGACTGCTTTCTTTCGATTAATTATATAATGTCAACTGTCATACCATATACCAATAAATGTACATGTGAAAGTAAACGAACTTGGAATAACATTACCTGGATGGAATTTATACATTTTATCAGCATTTTAATGATAATGACCTATGTCATTGTGTTGATGCTCATGACTATTGGTCTGTTAAAGAAGAAACATGTAGTGTAGCATTATCGTTTAGAAAGTATATGTCACATAAGCAATTTCGGGATATTACAAAATATTTGATATTAAGTGATACAAAAAAAAATAGTGATTCATTTTTTTTTTTGCGAAAGTTTCATGACGCATTTAACAAAAATCTTTCTAAGGCAATTACACCTAGTGATCATCTTTGCATCAATGAATCTATGTGCCAATGGATGGGTAAAGTGGATAAAGGCCCTTTTCAATATAAAATACCAAGAAAGCCCTATCTGATAAGTTGCGAATTTAAGACAATTGCAGATGCCCAAACCAATTTACTTATATGTTTAGATCCTGTGGAGCCACCTGAATTTTCTAAAAAAAAAAAGTTTTCTAATAATTATATGCCAATAGTTGCAACTATTTTGCAATTAACTGAGCTATGGTTTAACAGTAGTAGAACAATTGTTGCAGACTCATGGTTTGGCAGTATAAATGCATGTGTTACTTTATATAAGTATGGTCTTTATTCTATTTTGCAAATAAAAAAATGTCGTTATTGGCCAAAAAATATCCCTTCAGATATTACTGCTATTCTTGAAGATAGTTATGGATCATTTAATAGCCGAACTGAAAAATTGGATGGAGTTAGTCTTACTGTATGTTCTATCCATGACTGTAAGGATTTAGTACTTTTAGCTAGTTGCTCAACAACGAATTTGAAAACAGAAATAAGTAGATATATTAAAGACTATGGAAATGTAAAATTTTTGCGGCCTGTAGTTTTTGATGAATATAATAAATATAAATCTGCCATTGATATACTTAATAACCTTTATAATAATGCACTTTCATATTATGATGTTCTTGAAACAAAATGCTCAGAGAATTAGATTTTTGCCTTTTATTTTTCAATCGTAGAAGCAAATAGCTTCTCTACATACTGTCAATTTGTTCTAAAGAAAAAAAATATAAGACATGTGGACTTCCGTAAATGATTAGCTGCTTCAATTCTTAAATGTTACTCAAATGAAACAATGCATAAATGATCTAAAAAAAGAAAAAGACAAGATAATGAAGTTGAACAACACAATCTTGATTGTATTCGGAATAATCCTATAACAAAACAACTTAAAGGGAAGTGTATTCAATGTCGCTGCATAGATTGTCATAAACGTACAACAACTTGTTGTAGTTGCTTAAAATTACATGCTTTATGTACAACTTGTTGGGCTAGTTATATTTGTGATACGTTTAGTACAGCTTTAATGAGGTATGAAATTTTTTTATACATTTATCAATATCTACTTTATTATTTTTTAAATGCACAACAAATAATTCTTTTTTAGTGAAGAGTATCATAGCCTGTAATGGTGTACTACATGTAGTACATTTATTATTGCTAAATAAGCCACATGTTCAAGATTATATAATTTTTTTAATTATATAATAAAAATTAATAAAAATGATATTTTTGCATAGTACAAGATTCAATAATTATTTGAGTATAAAATTATAATAATTTATTTGTTTTTGGTTGTGCTATGAATTTTTTAAAATGTACTACCGGTAGTACAAAGGCCTAAATCCTATCCATTAATAATAATTTCATTATCATAATGCATAATGTAAACAGATTGTTAATCGTTCGTTATCATTTCCAGATTTGGTGATCCGATGTCTATTTGTCGCACATGTGACACGACCGTCGGTGACCGGACACTCCGGGCCGATTTCAGAAATGCATTGTTATGACGTATTGACGTCATTTAATATGACATATTAAATTATATGGACATAGAAATTATGCATGCGTGATCTGTCGTGTGACAATATGATTGTTTGTATAAACTATAAAAGGGCGAATGTATGACTATTTCCTGCCCAAAAAAATTTTTCGCTTCTTACATTTCTATTCAAGCAACACGAAAATAAACTATGTCGAGTAATATTACTCTTCCGTCGTTTGAAAAAGTTAAAAATAAATGGGGTCCAGATAAGGTTATTTCTTTTCTGGAATCTAATCAAGAAACTTTATTTCTTGAAGATGGAGACATCAAGCCATTTAGAGATAACCGTGTTCCCGGATCTGCTTTCCTTAGGTTGAATGTTGATAAGCTTATAGCACACCCTTACAATCTCCATGGTGGACCAGCCGAAACAATTGCAGAGTTGATTGAAAAAATTAAGGGAGAAGAACAGGGTAAGTACCACGACTGAATTCGAATATTCCAAACCTATACTGCTTTCTCCCCGATAATTTTCAAATTTTCGGTATTAACATTTCTCATTTTGTTGTTTTCCAGTTTCCCGGACTTCGTCTGTCTTCCCTGAGGATACTATTGATAAAATCAATATAATGTATAAGCACATGACAGAAGAAAAAGTCGAAGTAATTTCACTCTCAACGGTTAATACGAAAAAATTTCAAGCCTTTCTTAAATTTACCGGAATCACTATAGAATATGTAAAGTTTACTGGAAATTTGCCTAAGAAAGATATAGAACCCTATGAATGGTCTGATTATGCTGAGAACCATTTAGTTCAGCGGGAAGAAATCCTCAAATATTTTAACAAACACCTCAGTCCAAAACTTCCCACTGATATTATTATTCTCGACGTCGCCAATGATAAGGATTTCCTTAATATATATGATAGTTCATTACTTCCATTTGATATCCGAGGTGGAACTGATTTAGCCTTAGTAGAAGAGGGTTATATTAAGTGCAAAATTACCAAAGCAGGAATTCGTGCAGTTTTCGAATTTAAGAAAGTAGTGGAAGAGCATAATGCATATCAGACTATTTTAGAAATGGTTGCCGCGGACCTTTATGTAAATGACAAAATCAAAGTATTCGGTGTATTAACCGATCTTAAAAGCTTGTGGAATATTTATTGGGTAGCAAATGAAAAGAGAATTAAGGCAGTTACATTTTCACACCGTCTAAAAGCGTTAGAATTTATTGCCCAGATGGCAAGTGATCTAAACGGACATTCTAAAACTGTGCATATGCTTGGTCTGCCAAGAATTGAACGTATAAAGGTTCAGCAACTTTTTAATGAGAGTGCGCCCGATGAAGATCGAATGAAAGATTTTTATGAAGAAATGAATGAAGATGAGATACGAAGACACGAAGCACGCAAGGTTGTTTCGATACTTAAAAATAGTCCGTTATTTTCACGCATATATGCTAATCTATAATCAAAACTACAGAACAAGTAAAAAATAGCGCAAGCAAAAGTAATAGATAGTCTGTAATAATTTTTGCGTGTTTAATAAAAGTATTTCCTATTCGTTAGTTCAAACAAAAATATTTGACACATGGGGTTGTGCTTGTGATAATCTGTAAATCTATTATGTTAATCGGATTTTCTTTCAGCTCAATTTTCACTATTAATCATTGTTAAATAGATTAGCGGCTTTGATCTTTATTTATGCAATTTTCATAATTACGTGTTAATGATTATTTTTTTCTGACATAGGTAGGAAATTTTTTTTTTGTTATTAATCTTGCCTCATTTATTACTATTTTTATAAATCAATTTATTGAATCCGCAGATTTGATTAATCAAGAAATGCCATTGAACAGAAGTAACGTGCCCAAGAATATACTTGTTACTTCCTTGATCGGAAGTAAGTTCATGTTTTATTATTTTTATTTATAATACGTACAAGTCTACAATTCATTTTTAATAACCGTCTTAATAATTACAGCAACCCATCTTCCTCCAATATTAGAAATTTTGAAAATTTTAATAGATCGAGAATATAATGTATTCATATAATTTATACTTAATTTTCTTATTTATTATTTATTCAATTTTTAGGCAACATTAATATTTTCAAGAAACTATACGACTCAATCCATCCATCATCGGCCTATTCTACAAGTTATTTTCGAAAATAAATATATTAATCGCATATCCACATTAGAAATGATTAATACATTCAATGAAGATGGCTATTTTAAACTTATGACTACTATAAAAGGCGCTGCTGTTCAATCCTACTTATCTTATTATAAGATTTATGAACAAGTTGCTAAAGAAATCAATGCAGATTTATTTGTTTGTGATTATTTAATAAATCATCCGTGCTTTGATCTTGCTTGAAAATTGGGAAAGCCAGCTATTGTAATTTCCCCAGATGCATTTTATGGTAAGTGATGCATATTAATTTTATTTATAGTCTTATTATCTTATTAAAAATACATATAAATAGATATTAATTCTCGTTTATTAGTATCTAGTTCAACATATAAATCAAATCCTATATATAGACATGATCTCATTCGAATATGAAAAATGAATCATTTTATAACAGATTTAAATGTGAAATTATATCTCCTCTAAGAAAATCTTGAAATACAATAGACACTATAAAGGATCTTAATGCTCAAAGAGCAATCATGTGTGTAGATCCTCTTTGGAGTATTAAAGAAAGAGTATCAAATCTTTTAATATAAACCATTAATCTTTTTGGGTATGAGGTAATTATATATAACAATTAGCAAAATATACACATTTTAAGTTAATTAATTTATGATTAATATTATCGTATAGATACCAAGTACCAATTCACCACTTTATCCAAAATTTGGACCTATTCTATCTGATACATTTCCAAGTTTAACACCGGTTATTGACATATTTCTTTCTACTCATTCTTGAACAATATACTAACCAATGTAATAATTCCTTCTCAAAAAGCTATTATTATTTTAAAATAATTTTTTGAATTAATCGATGAAAATGTTATTGATGATTTAATTTGGTCTTATGGGAAAACAGATATTTTAAAACTTTTTCAATTAACTAATTTTAGCATACGATTATTTACTATATTATATAATGAACATCTAATTATTTTAATAAAATTTTATAATTTATTTTATTTAAAAAAAATTACTTTATATATTACTAAGTTTTTTTAGGTTAGCTTATGTGTTTTCTAGGTTACACAAAATTTATATATAAAATTTGTGTAATATAAACAAAATTTTATATATAAATCAAATAAAATGATTTATGTTATCTTTATCTTTAAATTTACAATAAATTTTATTATATAAAATTAAAATATATTTAATTTTGCAATTTATTAATTAAATAAAAAATAAAAAATATAGTATATTTTTTGATAAAATTTTTTAAGTTATATATTAAAAATAAATTAATAATTTAAATTTTAAGATATATAAAATAATAAATTTAATTATTTTTTTTTATAGTAAATATAGATCATATAACAGCTATTATATGCAAATAAACTTACTTAAACTTATATAATCAACTTGTTATTTGCTAAAAATACATTTTGAAATTTTAAAATTTATTATAACTATTAAACATAATATAAAACTACTAGATTTTTAGGTTCTATAAAATTGCATTAAATGGAACATAATATAAATAGATTTTTAAAATTTTTTTTTTTTTTCAGTATTAAGGTGACCTCTTTGGTCTGAGCTTTTTATTAATACTTATATTGGGTATATGTTTATATAGATGTATCTATAATGAACTATTAGACGAGTGTACAACTGGCTACATGTGTAACTTTTCTATATTACCTA